AAACAAAATTGAAGAGCAAACGAGTACAGATCAGTGCGTGCTGTTTGATAAGAGACTATTTTTCTACGTCTTTGGCGATAAACGAAAATGTCTAAGCTAAGCATGTCTTTAAAAAACAAACTGTGCATCTTTGACGCTTTAAAAACCGCTACACTTAGCCTTTGCCTTAAGCTGGCGTAACTAGTATAGAAACTGCAGCATTGTGCGTTTATTAGAAATACGCCCTGTTATATTTACCCGCATACAATAAAATATTTTATAAACGGGAGCAACAGTTTGCGAATAAGCGTAAAACCTAAAGTTGGAAGAGAATAGAAGTATCAGTACAGAGTGTTATTACAACATAGGCAGTTTTTATTAACCTATCCCAGTCCTATCAAATTGAAGGCAATTGATTAGTAGGATTTTGTGCACGTGTTATGTTAGCCATAGTCAACATAAGGTTGGGATAACATTAGTTTTGCAGATGGTAGACTGTGCATTGTGACGGTTTTTAGTTGCGATTCACTTTCTCAGAACAGACAGTCCGAACCTCTATATGTTAAGAGTAGGTCCACGAAAGTTACAAAAATTTCATTATGAACAACACAAAGGTATTACGTTCTACTAGCCATGAAAATAGTAAAAACGATTGCAAGCTTGTTGTTGATGTTGCTACTCGCTATGGTGATGATGATGATTTGTTTTTGTTTCCTTGTTTCCTTAATGGGCCTGGCGGACTCCACGAAAAAATCTTCGAGCGAGAGCGAGGCTCTTTTTCGGCTCTCTTGCCAATATGCTTTGCGGCACCCCCACTCTTCCAAATAACTCCATTGTTCCTGGACATTCAAACATAATGCATCCTCCTTTTCATGGCCGCATCTTCGGCAACGTGGGCTGATTTGCGAGTAGAGGTGCCACTTTGCAGTGCCTCGATGACACAGTGATGATGATGATGATGGTGATGATGATGATGATGATGATGATGATGATGATGATGATGATGATGATGATGATGATGTAACTAAAAGATTTACTTTGTAAATCCCTTGTGAAATGTACAGAGCCCCCTCAGTTTTAATTTCGGTCTCTTCAGGAGCAGCATCCGAGGCTAAACATTGAGCCATTTTTGGTAACCATAATGTATTAAAATTTTAAAAAGAATTACATTAAAATTTACTGACAGTTACTCAAGACACTCCTTACCTACTTTATTTTTCTTATGTGATGGTGATGATTCTAATATTGATGGTGCTGGGGATGGTAATGATAACGATCACAACAATAATATTTACACCTGTCTTCTTTTCTCAGCTGTTACGTTTCAGATATGCATCCAGAACAGGTACAAACTGAGCAAAAAGCTACGGAAGCTGACTACCAGCCAGACCACCAACGGGACGGAGTCGGCAATGGTGAACAAGTCTGTGTTGACTCAGACCAAGGTCAGTCAGAGAAAAGTTGAAATTTGTTGTAAATACTTACTTGTCTTACTTGTCCACTGTGTTGGGGTCACTGCGGTCGGAAAATGTTCATCTCTGCTCTCCCCCCTCTCTCAATCTGGTTAGCCTATCCTATACAGATTTGTGCGTTTCAAGTTATCACAACTCTTGGGGCCTAAACGCGTTTAAATGCTGCTGCACTTATGTTTATATTTAAATTTGTTGTAAATGTTATTATTATAAGATAACTCTCCCCCCCCCCCCAAAAAAAGAAAAAGTAGACGAGAAAATTGAAGTCAGACATTTCCAAATTTATACTTCGACAACTCTGCGATTTATTGTGTATTATTGTGACACGACGTGTCAATGTTTTCCGTCAGCCCAAATCTCACGTCCTCTCTACTTTGTTCCTTCCTGGCACAGCTGGCGGCCGCGGCAGAGGATGCAGACAACATGTCCGAGCAGAAGAGACAGCAGGGCAAGAGAGTGCGCTATGGGGAGATCGTACAGGTGAGAGCTTTAGACCAGGGCTGTTTGCACGTTTTATAGTGGACTAATTATTGAATTCACTTAACGCATTCTCAATGACCAACCTTAAAGTGTCCATTGTGAAACCCCTCTAGCAGAATTTAAACCCCAATACCATTCTTATCTCAGAGGTTCTGAGACCATATTTTACGTCTTGCATCAGCTTTGGCATTTGATGACCACTATAGAAAAACGATCAAATTCACATTCTCAGAATTTTAAAGTTTAAAAAAGCACTGCACTTTCCAATTTTCTTTTGTATCCTCTTTTGAAAAGGGTTTCAGACACAAAACGGAAAATATATTTCGATCTGACTGGTTTTGTTTTAATTTGATTTGTTTTAATTTGATTTGTTTTGTTTCGTTGTGTGTTTAATACGGAAGACGCGCATTTAACAATGGTTGAATAATTTCCAATGTGTGACTTTAAACATTTAATTTTTTTCCCCCCAATAGATTGTGGTCTTCATTAATTGTCATTCCCGTGTCTCCCTGCAGCTGAAGCACGTCCTGACGAACAAGTACATCCACATGTGTACCTCACAGACCAGC